TTATTATTATTATTATCATAGGCACTAATGAAAGCCTGCCTTGCTTTATTAATCTCAGAGAAGTTTAAGAGGAGTGGAACAAATAATTTCCCCTCTGTGCTGCTTTTTCCTTTTGTACAAGTCAGTCTATACCAACAACTGCAGATATATGTGTGTGGTTTGATAGTAATATGCAAGATTAACGCTAAATGGGTGTCGTTGTTTTGACCCAGTCGTTAATACTTATGCATCATTGAATGAACCCCATGTTCTCAGTAAAGTCTAAAATATACTGTGGGCTTCATTTTTTGATTGTAGTCCCCACCAACCTCTTGCGATTGGATGCTCCTGGTTGAACTGAAGAATGTAAGGAACACTCTTTTTGGTCATTTTGTTGTCAAAGAACCAACAAATTGTTTCAAAGAACAAACAAAATGATTACAGCTTTTTTTCACCCAGTTGTTGCTCTGCATGCTCCTTGATGCTTCTCCAGTGACACAGATGAATGAACAGCAGGGATCTTTTCCTCCTGTATCTAAGTCTGACTCTTTTCTCTGGCAGATAAATGTCCGAGTTACAACCATGGATGCTGAGCTGGAGTTTGCCATCCTGCCCAGCACAACCGGCAAACAACTTTTTGACCAGGTACACTGCACGTTACAATTAAAACAGGTGTGTTAACAGACAAGTTTGTGATCGTGTTATTTATTGATATAATATTTATAGATAGTGAAGACGATCGGGCTGAGAGAAACCTGGTTCTTTGGTCTCCAATATCAGGACAGCAAAGGCTTCTCCACCTGGCTCAAGCTAAACAAGAGGGTGAGGAGAAAGTTTGTGTGTCAACTGTGATTGTATAACTTGACTCCCCCCCATTGTGTCACCCCATTGAGGTTAATTAGTACCTATTTCTTCATTCCGGTATCCCTCTTCTCTGGGGTGCCAATCCCAGGTGACAGCTCAAGATGTGAAGAGGGACAACCCTTTGTTGATCAAGTTCAGGGCCAAGTTTTACCCTGAGGATGTTGCAGATGAACTGATCCAGGAGGCAACACAGCGCCTCTTCTTTCTGCAGGTTGGAGACGTACAAACACATTGACATTTTTAAACAGAATCATGTTTTAAATTTGCCCCCCTGAAATATGAGTGCTTCCCTAATCGGTCTTATTCATTTTCTCATTGGATGTCAACATATTTCTATATTTGTGTGCCATGAGAATGATCCAGATGTATTCATTTACTATTGATATATGCTAAAATGAGAGTAAAATTCATATTAAGTGGATATCACAATGTAAATAATGCTGTCTTTTGCAAGTATGGTACCCTGCGGGTATGATAAATAAGGAAACTAAATCTCAATCAAAACAAAATGCTGAACCTGTTTAACGACCAGTGGGGCTTCCACAATGACTCACACAGTTTGCGTTACCCTCATGGGGTTTCCATAAGGGAGTACATGAAAACAAAAAATGATTCCAGGTGCTCTAAATAAACACCAAAACACAAAGGGGTTCTTTCTAAGTGAGTCACATTAACACTAACATTATCTTGTATGTTACCTTTACACAGACAGCAACATAAAACATTAGGGATTCATGTGTTAAAGCAGATCTTTCTAATCTGTTCTGTGTTTTAGGTGAAAGAGAGCATCCTAAATGATGACATATACTGCCCGCCGGAGACTGCGGTGCTCTTGGCCTCGTATGCGGTTCAGGTCAAACATGGAGACTACAAGAAAGACTATCACGTACCAGGTTATCTCACAAGAGAGAAGTTGCTGCCACAGAGGTACTGAGTCTTATGGATATATGTGTTAACCAAAGTTAACTAAATTCGAGTTTCCAGTCATCTGAATTCTAACTGGTACGTCCTCTTTACTGTTAAAACCAGGGTTTTGGAGCAGCACAAGCTGAATAAGTATCAGTGGGAGGAAAGAATCCAGGTGTGGCATCGAGAGCACAAGGGAATGCTGAGGTACTGCAAGCTTATTACAAAAAGTCATTAATGCATTTTTTGCAAACAGGTGTTCTAAAGTTCATTAAATTGCTCCACACTACAGAGAAGATGCCATGGTGGAGTACCTGAAAATAGCCCAAGATCTGGAGATGTACGGGGTTAACTACTTCAACATCAAGAACAAGAAAGGATCGGAGCTGTGGCTGGGAGTGGACGCGCTGGGGCTGAACATCTATGACAAAAAGGACAGGTAGGTCGCCTCTAGGGATGGCAATGACGGTCGGATGTCTTTACAACTATTGGATGCATTGCCATCATGTAATTTGGTACAGACATACCATACCTTTCCCCGAAAACTACTTAAATTAACTAGTTAAACTTCCTTACAAGCACATTTATTTCTTCTTCCACAATGGAAAATCTAGAAACTATGACGATGCAAATATGTTTTTATTTTAAATGTGCTCAAAAGTGCTGGACAAAAGATGTCCCCTACTTCCCTAGAAGGCCATTCTCAATGTGTGCACTGAAGGTTTAGCTGCTGTAAGTTGCTTATTGGACCATAACTGGCTTTCAAACTAGTTGTCACATCACAAATTCTGTTCAAACATTCCAGTTTTAAACTAGATTTAAGGTGAGCTTAGAGGAGGACAACTTTACTTTTCCTCTATAGTGCCTATCAGATCAAATTGTGAGTAGTTTGTTAAACTAATGGCACTTTAATCAGCCTCAGTTATACTTTGTCTTTAGTGGTAATTAGCCAATTTTAGCATGCTAACATTCTGTACAGTACTAAACTAAGATGATAAACAAGGCGAACCTGGCTGAAGTTACCATTTAGCTCTAAGTAGGTAGCTTTAGACTCTAAGCCTCTTCCTCTCTGCTGATGACCATACGTATGTGTGTTGGTTTCAGCCAGGCAACTTTCTTTGCGTCTACACCAACTATGTTTTAATTTTGTGTAAAGAACCTCTGTTAATGCAACTACTGACCATAATGGTAAATCATGTCAATATTTTACAGGATGACCCCAAAGATTGGCTTCCCCTAGTGAGATTC